TATATATACATACATATGTATAGACACGCACACATAATATCAAAACAGTACCTCCAGCTTTTCCCAATTAACCACAGCAGCTATTGGCACTAGAGTCACTGGAGCTTCTTAGCTGAATCGCACCAGGACTGGGGTTTCGATCCCAGTGTTTCGGCAACCCGAACACCCGCCCACCCCCAAGCCGTCTCTCCCCCCCCCCCAGTTGCCTCCCTTTCCGGCCCCAGCAACCGCCAGGCTAGATGACCTTGTGGAGAACGGAGATGGTGGCATTGGTGCCACTCACCAGAGGCCGCAGCCGGGATGTCATTTTTCCAGTCATCCGCCGAAGCCGGACCATCCTTGCAACAGGAAGATTCGGCCTTACCAAAAGTGAGTCCTTCCAGCATATCATCATCATCTTCCACCATCATAAGCTACACACGCAGGCGGGAGGCACTTGGTAGTTCAGGACGTGGTGCAGCATGCGTGTTTATGCAAAATGTCATTGTATGACTTGTATAATCTACTTTAGTTACAGGGTTCGGGAGCTGTCACATCAATAAGGGAGTCACAGTGGCCATGGGCGTGTGCGCTAGAATGTTCCGTGCGTTGACCATGAACCTTCCTAGTTGTTGTTTGCATCTCGGTTTCGGTGAGCGAGCCGCAGCGGAGCCTTCGAAGAGGAGAGTTCGGTCGCTGATTCGGATCTTTGACGCAGCTTGCAAGCTTGTGGAGACCATAGTGTTGCCTGTACCGATAGTCAGGTTGTTGTAAAAGCAGAAAGCATCAGCAGCAGCACCTTTACAACAACGGCAAGCGCGTGAGTGGTCGCATTACGTACCACATATGTTACTAGTAGACAGTAAAGCATCTTGCGCAGATCGATTCGTCTTTGTTGACAGAAGCGGATCACAGCAAAAAAGGCTTCAAGACCAGTTACAAGGATAGTCTAAGAACACCCAAAACCCGATTTAAGTATTCAGGCCATTTATCACGCGGGCCATGAGCGATGAGCCGGAACGGACCGATTCTGCCGCTCGCCGTGGCCGCGATACGGACTTCCAGCTCCGTCTTGCTCCGAGGCACTACTTCGACCAAAGTGTGCAGCCGCCCGGCTTTGTTTAGGGTTTAGGGTTTANNTGCAGGGTTTCGGGTTCAAGGTTTAGTGCTGTATTTTGGGCATTATCTGTGGGCTTACAAGGATTATGTCAATACTTGAAATCTCAAACCTTCGAACTTTCAAGAACCGTGGCGTTGGGATACAGCTTCTGGTGCGCGACTTTCGTCGGCCAGTGCAGCAGGTCGGAATACCAGATTTTTCCCGGTGCTGTTGGCTGCTGGTGTGGGTCTCCGCAGTTTGGTGTCTACAGTAACCCGAAGAGCCACCCTCATTCAAACCTTAGAAGCTTATGGACTTAACTTCTAGGAGCATAAAACATAGCCCTTACAGCAATCCTGAGAGACACCCTCGCAGCATCCTCATGGAATATCTTGCAGGAGCTTGTATCCTAGCCCTGACACTATACCCCTTAGGACATCTTGTGATCCTAACGTTCAGGTATCTCCTACTCGGGGTTATCCTCGGCGCCCTTGGATTTGTCATTGCAGTCATCCCGATGATCATCCGAGGCGCCGAGACCAAGCCCACCCCCCCTCTCTCTACCTCTCCCTCTCCCTCTCTTGCACGCCCTGCTCTCCGTCTGCAGCCAGCAGCCTCGATCGAGCCATGCCTGTCGTCAGCGAAGTGCGGCATCCCCAGTCCCTGGACTTTGCGAA